CCTGCCCAGGATTGGGGAGAACTCCACAAACTGAACATGTCTGTGTTTGTGGGGAAAGATGATCCCATTTTCAAATAACATGGGAGTCCAATGGCACGACCCCGTGATACTTACAAACTCTTTGTATGTGTCAGCAGCCAGCAGGTGGAGGTGCTGGGCCCTCAGCACGGCATTGGCAAACAGACTGGAGAGGGGCATGGCAGGGAAAGCTGCTGCCCCCCGGGGCCACTGCAGCCCCAGGATGATTGCAACAAAGAGCAGAGGAGAAAAATATGACCCTGCAAAAGAAAGGGGAGGTGTCAGTAATCCTGGGGGCAGTGGCCTAATTACTGTTGGGGGGGGGGGGGGGGAGGCTACAGTGAAGCCCCTTTCATCCTCTGCTCTTTCCAGGGCTGGCACATAGGGGAAGCTGATGGTGTGGGGAGGTCCAAAGGGGCAGCTGGTGACTGCTTCATACATTTAAGACCATTCTGATGATCTTTTTTCACCTCCTGTGTAGCACAGGCCAGACAACCTTAACCAGGGATTCCTGCATCACGCCCAGAACTTCTGGTTGAGCTCGAGAATATCTCTCCAAAAGACATCCAGTGCTGCCTGACTGACCACAAGTGACGGAGACTGCCCCACGTCCCTGAATAAGCTGTTGATGAATTACCCTTGCCGTTACAAATGTGCTCCTTATTTCTAGTCTGAATTCATCCAGCTTCAGCTTCCATCCATTGGCTCTTGTTCTGCCTTGTCTGCTGGATTAAAGAGCCCTCTATGATCAGAAATCTTCACCTCCTGGAGGTCCTTACAGATCAGAATCAAGTCACCTTTTAGCTTTCTCTTGGACAATTAACAGACTGAGTTTTCACTGAGAGGCCGGTCTTCCAGACCTTGAATCATTCTTGTAGCTCTTTTCCGACCCCTGGCCTTTGCACTCATTGTACTTACCCATTCGTATTACCATGAAGTTATTTCTGTATAAAATAAACCGGATTAGACAAGCAATATGCAAGTACAATGCCAAAGGGACAGACCTTTTCTTGTATTTTTAAGACTCTCTCATGCTCATCCCCCACCCCCACTCTCTCCCTCTGGCCTGTTTTGTGATGACTGGAAATTCTGCTCCACAGTTGCTGAGCCAGCGTGCCCTCCTCCTTACCCAGGGCTCACCTGCTGCTTTACAAAGGGGGCAGAGAATCCTTGCCTCCATTTTACAGATGGGGAAACAGCCTTTGAGAGGTGAAAGCCAAAACTTTCAAACATGGGCGCCTAAATACGAGTGTGCTGGCTCCGAAGTGCTGAGCACCCACAGCTCCCCCTGCAATCAGTGGCAGCACCCAGCATGCCTGAAATTCAGGGCACTTCTTTAGGAGCCTAAATATGGATTTACAATGCCTGACTTTAGACAGCCAGATTTAAACATGTTGGTCCTCAACTCTGTGACCCAGTTCCCCCTTTGCCAGCTGGGGTACTGATACTCATACATCTTCCTGGGGTACTGGGGAGGTTTGGTTAATATTAGGGCAGTGCTTTGAAAATGTAAAACACTCTGTAATTGTTAGAGGGGTGGAGTGGATTGCACACTACGATCACAGGCTTCAGTGGACACGTACTCCCCAGCACTGCAGCCAGAAACCCCCCCACCTCCTCTTCTTCCCCCCAAGGGCAGAAATAAAGCCAGTCTCTTTCACCGGTGCCTGCCCAGTGCAAGCAGAAACAGATCTTTAGTGAGGTTCTTGGATGCTGGGGCAGGTGTGTGTGGGGGGGTAATGCTGGCAAGTGGTGCCAGGTGCAAGGTCTAATGCCAATGGATGGTGCTGGCGGTCCTGGGTTTCAAGGTGAGGTGGGTGATGCCGGTAGGTGGTGCTGGAAGTTCTGGGTACAGGTGGGAGTTGGGTGATGCTGAGCATTATGGTTGCAAAGGGGAGTTGGTGTTGCCAGTGGGTGGTACTGGGGCTTTGGGATAAACTACGTTTCTGTCTGATCAGTGATCTAAAGATCACTGCTTAGAAATGTTTATTGATCCTGATATCATGTGTACAGGTTCCAGGGCAGTGCATCTCTGTCCTGGCAAATCCTAGAGCACCAGACCGGAAAGCCTGGCTGTCATCTCACCGGCTACATTCCTCTTCTCAATATTTTTGTTTTATTGGATGTTAATTGTGTTCAAAAGTTCCTCAAAACACACGGAAAATCTCTTTACCCCTCTCCCACCAAAGCCTTTTGAGTCTTATGCAGCTGATATTGTTTCTGGACGTCGCTGTTCTTCTTTCCCGGCTGAGGAGGAGCCCTCGTGGTCCTATGAAACCTAAGAGATTTCATCATCCCTCCCCCATGGTGTCCAACATTTTCTCCATCAGGCCTTGTCTGCACTCAGAAGAAGGGTGTATAGACTAACATGAGGTAAACTCCTAGTGAAGACTAGCCAGTTGTAGGATTAACATATGTTAACTGTGTTTACCTCAACCTGCTAATGTGTGTGAAAACTATACATGGCATTGGCTTCACTGTGATGTTCCCTTGTGTTAGTTAGCTAACACCAGAGAAGAACACACCTTTCTCCTAGTGTGTAGTTGAGTGTGGATTTCCTCATAAAAAAGAGGAAATTCTCATCCCCCGACATCATGATTCTCAAATGGCTTCTTTGGGCATGGGAACAGTAAGTGAGGGACAAATATAAACATTTCCGGGTAAGTGAAATTACTGAGCAATCTTGCATTGTTAATATTTGGTAATAATGAACACAGTCTTTACAATAACAGATGAGACGAGCCAGGCTTCAGAAACTGGTCATTCCGAGGACTGGCTTCCTTCTACTTCAGTTCCAGCTACTTTGTAGCAGGCAAAGATCTCATGAGTTCCCTGAGTCAGGGATTAATGCGCACACGTACAGGTTGGTCTTCACCTAGTTGCCATTTTTTCAGGTGCAAATATTTTGGGGCACAATTTCACCCCCACAGTTTGTGTTACTTAGACACCCGAGCCATTGATTATTCCACGTATTATGGCCATAGACGTCTGGGTGATCTAAATCATGTGTGAATAACTGCAGGAGCAAAATAGCGGCAGTTATTTGTAGCCTTCGTTTCCATCCCCAAAACCTGTCCATGCTGCTTTGTACCCTGGGGTTCCAGTCTGCCAGGTTGCATGAGGCATTGTTTTTAGCCCTGAGTTCTTGAGAGAGGGGCCTCAAAAAGCAGCTCAGAACTGAAGTGGAGTGATAAAGGCATAGTCAGAATAATGGGATGCCTGAAGTCTGATATCTTGTGAACCACCATAGAGCACCTGCTCTACCACTACTGCTCAGCTTTCCCAAGGGGGAATTACATTAGTGTCTGTCAGTCATACCTGTGAAACTATCACGGGCTCCTCAAACGAGACAAAACCACAGACTGTCACAAACCAAGGGGTGGGATAGCTCAGTGGTTTGAACATTGGCCTGCTAAACCCAGGGTTGTGAGTTCAATCCTTGAGGGGGCCACTTAGGGATCTGGGGCAAAATCAGTACTTGGTCCTGCTAGTGAATGCAGGGGGCTGGACTCAATGACCTTTCGGGGTCCCTTCCAGCTCTATGAGATAGGTATATCTCCATATATTATTTCCCAGAGAGGCATCCCAGCATCCTGATAGGCTGAGCTACTCTGCTGATCAGAGCAATGCAGTGCCATGGAAAGCCGGCAACGATCCCTGTATCTGAGATCAGCCGGCATCTGAACGTGGAGGTCCCCAGACCAGACAAAGTGTATATGGCTTGAGAAAGGAGATAAAACTTGAAGAGCGGGGGTGAGGCACGGGCAGAGCTAAGGGCTGGGCCAGACCAGCAGGGTATATCCTGAACCATAGTGAACACAAGGTGTCACTGAGCCCAGAACAAAGGATGTTCCCAGACAAAACACCTGGAATCGGAGTAAATACATGTTGCTAATGAAAAGGGGAAAACACCCACTAGAGCGTTGTCTTCCAAAACTGACAGGTTTGCTCTCTTGGCACATGTGGAGCAGGGTTTAACCCTTAGGAGCCTGAAGATGAGTTTAAGGTGAGAGATGGGAGTGGAGTAAATGAGTCTCATTAGTCTCCTGCAGTCTCACTCCCCTTCCTTGAATGAGAGCGCCCCCCCCAGGAGCTGACGAAGGGAAGAGAGCCACCTGCCAGACCTACTCCATCAGCAGGGAGCCAGGCAGGATTTATCCCAGGGGATGCTGACCTCCGGCAACTGCAGGGATGGGGATCAGCGAGGGGTGGAGCAAGTCTCCTTTGGAGCAGGGGTGTGGATGTGCTAGATGGGGGCAGCTATGCCCTATTGCTCCAGCACCCCTGAACATACCCACATGCCCCAGCAAACCAGCTGTTTTATTATCTGTCATGGTCCAGGACCTCCTTGTGCTAGACTCTGTACAAACACAGCAGAGATGATCCCTGCCCCAACAAGCTTACAACCCCCTCTACATTGGCCACCCTTAGGATTAGTGTAATGGAGCTGAGCTTTAAAAACCATAACATAGAACGTCCTGACTTTTGTGTGATTAAAATGATAACCTCCCTGTTGCTTAGGAACACAGAAATCACCACGCTGGATCAGACCTGAGGCCCCTCTAGTCTAGTATCCTGGCTCTAACACTGCCCAGCACCAGCTGCACCAGGTGCAAGGATCCTGCATTAGCAGGTATGAAATAATCTGCCCCCACATATAGGTTCTGGTCTCTAATAGTTAGAGATTGGCTTAAGCCCTGGAGCAGCAGATTTAGTATGCCTTCATAATTTTTGTTAGTAATAGAAGTTAAAACTCTGGATATTCCTGTGTCCATAGAAATGTCCAATCCCCTTTTAAAATTGCTAAATTCTTGGCCTCCACATCTTCCTGTGGCAATGAGTTCCACAAGCTAATTACGCATTGTGTGAAAACATATTTCCTTTATCGGGTTTGAATGTCCCATCTTTTACCATAGACATTGAGTTTACACTGCACACGGCAATACTGTCCTCTCTCTGCACTGGGTCCCACTATCCTGAGCCTGCACTGATGTTCACAATACTTTACAATTCAGATATAAAAAGGTACCTGAAGCCATTTCTCTTTGGTAAGTTGCAGTTGCTCGGGTGCTGTTTGAAGCTGGATGTTTCTAGGCTGGTAGTGGGAACCTTTGAACCATTCTTATATACTGGGGGGTCGTTGTAATATTTATGCATGTTTCCATGAATGTGAGACACCATTCCCCCCTGCCATATTGGTCTATGAATAAATGCACAGGTGTTCACAATGGTGTTACCTACTCAGAATTGTATTATACATAAATGCAAAATGTATCACGGGTGTTTGCCTAGTG